GTTTGGGATTTGTGTGGATTAACCAGCAGATTTGCCCCCATATGATAAGGTCCCAAGGTGGTGTAGGATATATTTCAGAAGAAGGAACTGGCAAAACACCTTTGAATATTCCTTGCCTAAAAGAATGGTATGAAATTCATGGGGGCCCCATCAATTGACAAACAGCTCAAAGGCACATATGCATATGTGCGCACGCGCACACACACACACACACACTGATCAAGTTATTTTTTTAGACTTCAGTTTCCAGAATCCCCACCCATCATGGGCATGATTTAAATGTGAAAACATGGAAGGGTCTAAAATAGAAGCAGCTGTGTGAACTCTTCTGAAGAGTTGAGCAATTGAGAATTACTTTTATATCAGCTGGGTTAAGATACATTTGCACACAGTCAATCCCCATATTCATATTGCTCAATTTATTACATTTTACATAGTTACAATTACAATTTATTACATTACAATTTATTACATAGAAAACCTGGATAAAGAAGATTATAATTTATTTAACACAGTTACTAATTGAATACCAAAGCTGAGATCCTGCGTCATCAGATGTAGCTGCAGTGATGGAGTTCCATCATCACAGTTATGTCTGGTTATTCCCCCTGGCCCCCAAAATAATTACCATTACACCCTGGTAATGTCCTAGTTGAAGGGTTACCAATGCACTGTAGGTCAGGGCACAAGGAAATGATGCCTGAACTGCTCTCTGAGTTACAGAGTATATTGAGAACAGGCAGTTGGAGAGACCCCTTGGAGTCTTGCTGCGCCTGTTTGTCCCAATGCACTTCATAATTGGGAAAGTACTGCAGATGTCTTTTCCCAGTGCCTCAAATCTGCCACCCTTCGTATCTTTTTGATTGGGGCTCTTGTATGCATCCAAACATCCCCAGATGTATCTATCAATTCAGATATGATTTGATATAATGTTAAAGTGCCAGCATGAGCAGATGTGGTCTGTAATGGCTCACACAGCATCGAACACAGGGAGTGTGAATTATATGTAGCCGCAGCCATGTGGAACAGTGTGGGGAGGAAGCTTGCAAGAAAAAGCACCACCATTACCAACACACACACACACACACACACACACACACACCACTCTGCATTTCTGACAGGAAACTGATAAACAAGAGATGAGTTCTGCTAGACCAAACAAGACCAAAAAAACCCTTTATCTTTTATGTGGGTCTCTACAACCCCAACCCCACCTGTCCACTCAGTTCTGGGAAATCCAGATCTTATCTAAGTGTTGTAAAGTCCATCAAGCATCATCAGACACAATCAAGCCTTCTTATTCACCCAAACACTCAAACTCTTCAGTTTAGAAACCTTCTCAGTTCTGTTCTTTTGGTTTCCCATTGAACTCTTATGGATTAAAGGTATAAATAAATATTCTCTCCAAAATTAAAAAAAAAAAACTTTTGCTACAGTTGCGGCAGCCTGTTTTTCCACACATGCACAACTGTCATCCTCAGACTTTTGCTTGAGGCCTTTGTTTCTGTCCTCATACTTTTTGGTTTTCCATGGACCTTTGTCTTCAAGGCAGATATATATCTTAACCAACCCTTAGTTTCCACTGTCCCCTTTCAATGTTCTGTATTCAATTGGCTCTGTATGCTGGGATTTGAATAGGTTATCTTAGTGTGTATGCTACTTTTTTATTTTTCTTAATAAATGTACTGTATGTATAGTTCTGGAGTCTCCATAGTGAGTACTGGTATAGCTGGTGCTGGATCCTGCATATTACATTACCCACCCTCACACAGCCAAATTGAATATTTCCCTAACTTAATTCAGATAGATTGCAACTGCTCATGGAGGCTCTACTTGCCCCAGCCATTTAGGGTAACCCTCTATCAGGCTGCAAAAGGTACATTTTGGTGGGTCACATGCAGTTGTTAATGACCATAAATGTGAATCCTTAACAGTTATGAGGTTGCAACTTTTGAACAGGATGCCAGCCAATATCTTTAAAGCCTTTAATAGATTGTTGGAGCAATATTGGTTATCCCTCAGTGCCACAGTTCAATCTCTGCAGCTAAAATATGGTTTGGCTGCACTAAGTGCTGAACACCACCTTCTGGGAAGAAGGGGGACAAGTGGTCATGGCAGCTGGTTGTCCTTCAGTTGCTGGGGGACTAGAAGCAGCCATCTACTTCGGGCCACATTGGTGGAAATTACGCTCATTTTGGATTATCATGGCAGAATGGAGGCACATTTTTGCCCTCAGAGATTTACAGTACATTCCACTAGCAGTTGTACTGGATCCAGGATCAATTCACCCATGAAAACAGCAGGCTTCTTCCTTTTAAACACAGATCTGCCCCATTCAGGGCCATGCCAAGACATTTTGTTGCTTGGGGCAGCAAATACACAAATGATCCTGGTGCATATTATCCAAAGGCAGTTATTATTCTTTTGGAGCTCAAGTCTCCTCCCCTCCCCAATCTCACCAGCACCTCTTCAGCTTCCCTGGCAATGAAGAGATGGAAGGTGGTGAACATGATGTAAATGCCTCCTGACAATCTGGCTTCCTTCTTATGATTTGCTGCATGAGGATGCCACCACACTTTGCCTAACAACAAAACTGAAGAGGAATTTAATGGGACATCATTTTGGTTTTTCCTTAATGTGTTATAGGCTTCAATATAATAACATTTGTCATGGCTTATAGTGAATTCTGCCAAAAAGTATGAAGTTAGCAATGAAGGTTACATCCAGCCCATCTTGTTCTTCCCTGGAAAGGGCTTCCTAATAAAATATGTTATCCACTCAAAAGAAGACTATAGATGGCCAGTCTGATGCCTGGCTTGACAGATAACCAAAACACCTGTCTGAAATACGTAACTTGGTAGAAAATTTCCTCAGCACATGGTCAAACTTCGAGAGGCTTCGCAAATTTTCACAAACTGTATTAGAGTGTACAGGCTACTCTCATTCTATACAGCAGCCTGAATGTCATCGTGTGAAACAGATGTGTGTTTCTTTTCACAAAGCAAGATCCTTGATTCACCAACTTGGCCTCCTGGTTAAACTAAGAATGACAGGACAAATTCCCTTCAGGGCCAGGGCCAGCCCCATTCACTAGTAAGGTAGACAGTTGGTACATAGGATTGAGTGCTGAATTTTCCTCCATCACTGACCATGCTGGGTTGGAGAGTCTATGCGATGTCATTAAAAAAGTAACATTTCCTAACCCACTCCCATTTCATCCTGAGGTGCCCCCCACCCCGCTGTTTGCAATCAGAGCTCAAGAGGAGGGAAGATGGCTTCAAGAAATGGAATGCAAGTAGTGGAGCAGAACAAACAATGGACAGTTTAGAGGTTTCTCCATCTCCACTCCATATGATTTTGGAAGACCCATGTTGAAAGACTT